AAACAGAATAGGGTTAGGTTAGGTTAACTGCTTACTTTTACATAAGCTATTGTGGCAATCTTGACAACTTTCAGTTTTCAATAAAATGGCTGCAAATATTTAGGAAGGGTTAATTTATTCCTATTTTCCAGGGTTGTCCAATTTACTTTTTATTATTTTATATGATTTGTAAAATTTATAAAATTTTTGCAGCTGTACCTAAAAGAAGTAAAACTGAGTAGAGAACATTTCAAGCAAAAGAGTAAATCTTAAGAAAAATCAATTTGGCTGCAAAGACAAAAGTAGTATTATTACAGTAGAAGAAGGAATCTTTTACTCCACAAGACAATCTAAAGACTTTTTTACATTTTCTATTATTTTCATTTTTTTCAAATCTTTTAAAAAACTATTTTGAAGAATGAGGCAAAGTTTATAACAGTGGAATCCTGAAAAAAGCAGGAGTTGACACTATAATTCAAGAATAGAAAAAGATTAGATTTCAGAATGACAAATGTAAAATGACCAAGACAGAATCACAGACTTTTGGAACTGGAAGGGAGCTTAGAGATCATCTAGTCCAAAGCTTACATTTGTTCAGTGCACAGCCTAAAAAAAAAATATGAAGAGCTATCAAAAAAACAGAACTAGAACTCAGTTCTCCTGACTTGCTGTCCATTGCCCTTCATAGTCTTAGCAGGAAAGTTAAAATAAAAATGTCTCAATTTATAAAATAGGAGCAATTGTGAAGTAACAAAGGTTGAAAACACAGGAAAACATCAGTGAAATAAATATTTGGAAAATTAATATATACAAAATCAACTAGATTATAAGACATGTATCCTGTGGTATAAGGAGGATAGGTTAAGAAATGGTGATCTGCTTAATTCTAAAAATAAAATAGTGAACTATAAAATGAAATGAATGAATATAGTTTTATAACTATTTTTACTAATCGTAATTAGTAAAAAAAATAGAAAACTGATGTTTCACAATAGAAAGCAAATTTGACTGGCATCAGTGATGAAATAAATGTAAAAAAATGGAGAGATTAATATATATGTAAGATTATCATGCTAAACATGTATTGTGGAAAAATTAATATGTCTCAAGGAAGACATAATACCATTTACCAAATTTGGCTACTATTATAAAATAATTCTCTGAGGGAACAAGGAGATGTTACACATTTAAATAGAATCTTGACCACATGTCTTATAGGGAGTAATTGTCTACTGAGAAAGGAATAGACTAAAGGAAACTTTTCTATCTGTAATCTCTATAAGACAATAAAAAATTCCTTTTCACTGAATTCCATTTCACCTATAAGAAAATCAACATACATATAACAAATTGTTTAATTAATTATTTCTTTTACTTAGGTATTTTTAAGACTTACTGAATGGGAGCTTTTATGCAGATAGTTGGGTTTTAAACAGGTGTTCAATAATTTCCTTCCTACAGGACAGTATATTTTCATTCTTGAAAGAAAAATCATAATAATGTTTCTTTAGTTGTTAAAGTTATGAGGATTAGAATTAAAATTAGAAAGATGATGAGAGACTAAGTTCTGATACTTGAATCACAGTCAGATGAATAGAAAAACATTGTATGTTCATTTTTCATACTTCCTTCCCAGATCTAATATTCACCTGACTGACACAAGGAAAGATGGGGGAAATATTAAATTAGGTTTTGTCATAAAAATAGATTAAAACATAATGCATAAATTATGTATAAAAACCTTAAAGCTACCAATAAATGTAGCTGAGTTAAATGTAAACACTTCCTTATTTCAATCAGCTGTAAAAATGCATTAGAGAAACCATGATTCCTTTTTGTAAATCTATATTGTACAAAATGCCATTCTTTGTTTTGTGGGATGAAGGGGAAAGGGGAATAAAATCCTTACTTTACATAGATTTTTTAAAAAATGTACATATATATATATATCTCTATATATAGATATAGAGATATACATATATACATACACACACACACACACATATTTCCCATAAAGTGATGACCTGAAATGCAAGTCTGCCACAATGAAAGCCACAAAGCTTTTAGTAAATACTTTCCAAAATTGGGAAGAGACTAATCTTGAACACATGAGAGTCCATAGAAATTATAGGGTCCACTCTCTCTCCTTTATATCATAAATTCACTTGCACTATGATTATACAATGACATAGTAAATGCATATTATAGTAAAGACCCCAAAAATTAATGTTCAAACTTATTTCATCGAATAGCTTTTTTGGAGAGGAGAATCTAGCTTGGCGCATAAACACAACCTAAAGACCAAATCAATCTTAAGAATACCATGGTTCCTGAAGAAATTTTTATTTTGAAAAGTTAACGTGGATCATTGGTTTGTAGGTTATACTATAGAAATACTGGTCAAATCACTCAGTTTTTGCTTTTTAATAAAGTGTTGGGGTTGGGGGAAGCTTCTGAAGCTAACACCTTTGTTCCCCGGATCCCTAAGATTTTGTCATCTTAACATGACTATGTGTAAGCAGAACTCTGCCGCTGCATTACACAGGTCAAGTCCCATTATAATTAAATATCTCTATTCCTCTCTCCTATCCCCCAAATAGTTCCAAAGTTTCAACCAGTGGGATATTTTTAAAAAAATCAAGATAGTTCCTTGAATTACACTATAATGGGATTCGACCTATATTAAAATGATTGATGATTCAAATTGTTTGCTTTCTAGCTATGCCACAAAGCAAATAATGAGGTAGGTACAAATGTAATTAGCTTTTCTATTGCTGAGTGACAAATGAAACTTTTATAAAATGATTTTAATTTCTTAAGGAGGAAAAAAAAATCACTACCACTGAAAGTTTGACAGTATTCACCTAAATGACCTATAAGACCTTATGTCACTCAAGAGACCAAATAGAAAACAAATTATTCACTTTAGAGAACAATTCTGATTTGTTTTCTGAATTCATTATGAGAATTTGGTACACATTATTAAAATTGGTAACATAACAGAATGCCTTGCATATAGTAGGTGCTTAATAAATCTGCTGAATTTAAGTGGTCCAAGAGAAAGAGACTTCATCCAAGTCAATTTACATGGTCTTCATTATTTTGCAGATAAAATTCTTATAAAACAGTGACTTCTAAAATTTTAGATCCTTCAAACTTCTTTGAAATAAGACCCTGGATTGTTGGGATGACAGTCTGAATGGCCTGAGTTGGTGAATGTTCATTAATACCATGTGGAATCTCATCATTATGAATAACTTGAAAATAATAATTTTTAAATGATTTTTAGACTTATCCTAAGTCTTGAGTCTCTTGCATTAATTTTTGAGTGATATCTTACTGAAATAATGGCATTAGGGTATTTCCGTTAAAACCATTCAAAACTAATTTTAAAGCATTAGTTTACATATATACTTTAAAAAAGAAATATTTAGTTGTTCACTTGTCAGATAAAAACAACAGAACAAATGGAGTTGTTATTTTGCAGCACACTATATATAGTATTAAGCACAGTGTCTTATAAAAAATTACTTTTTGTTTTAAAAAGGAGGCAGCAAGAAGCAATAAAATAAACACTTATTAGTCAGTAGGATATCATGGCACTTCTGCATGCCTTAAAGTTCTTAATGGTACACATGTTTTAAAGAGGCAAACAATACATTTGGGCTATGAAGCATACATGAATATGCCATTAAAATTTAGCTCTTGTTTTTGGTTGTACTAGGTGCCATCAGACCAACATTAGGGACAAGAAAATTCAAATGTTCCAACTATGCAGATAACAATTTGGTATTTTCTAATAATTTCATTAATTCCAGACCAATTTTTCATGCCTAAAAGAGATCACAGTCTAATGCTGACAGTGATTTACAAGACAAAGAATCACCAACATTTTTGAATTAATAGTTTGAGGAGGAAGAGGTACTTTGTTATAAGCACAGCAATGTTTCATTTAGCTTCTATTTATATTCCACACACCTAAAACTAACTGTTCTTTTGAACTCCAGCAATTTCTGAAATATTTTAGATAGAAATGAGAATTACTAATGGAATAGAAATTCCTTGAGGAGATGGGTGGTCTCATTTTTGTCTTCACATGTCCAGTGCCTAAACACACTGCCTGGAATGAAAACAGTAGGCACTTCACAAACTGTTTGTTGAATTACATTGAATACCCAGTAACTGAAAACAAGGGTGTCAGTGAAGGCTTTGGACTCTCTTCAGGCAAGGCAAGTTAAGTGCAGACAGTCTGCCAGAAGACAAGCAGAAGGGCCCAGATGCCAAAGTCAGGTCTGGTACTTTGTGAGCATCCTATCTCTTGTTCAACACTTTAGCTGTTATACTGATCAGAAAACAGGGCAGAGGCAAAGTTTCATTATGGAAAAATGCTTCACCACTGAAAAAAGAGAAGGTATTTTGAGATTATGGCCACCATAAACTCTTGTCTCCTTATCCTCATACATACCTCAATGGAATTGATTTGAGTATGGATTTTCTTTAAAATCTATTATAGTATAAGTGATTAGTTGCATACAAATTGAAGTTTCTATGCCATGCAAGTAAACAAGCTAGAACTACAAAATGAGCACAAGTTATACTTGATAACAGTGAGAACGACAAAATTATGGGGGCAGGGCGGGAAATTCCTTACCTTCTTCTCCTCTAAAGCTAATCCCAGTATGAAATCTCTGGAGTTACTATTTTTTAAAATAGAATTTGCAAATGGTCTCTAATAGACTGGTCAGCTTTTTCTACTGTATTTCTGCAAGATTTGTTAAAACACAATTGATGGTTTCTGAAATTCTAGGTATAACTCTTAATATGAAAGCCTTCTTTACTTAGTGGAAACAAAGTTATTCATCTGACGCAAAATTCCTTTAACATACGGAATTTGGTTTTTTTTTTCCCTTGGATACCTTAATATCATCTCAACACTGGCTCCTTCTTATATAAAGGATGACTAAGTGGCAACTATTACACATTTAAATTTTTCTAAATATAAAATAAGAAGTTCCATAAAGTGTCTATTAGGGGAAAAAAGACCGAATAAATTAGTAATTGATAACCTTGAACAGAACTATATTTTGAGTGAATTTCTTAATTTCTAGTTCGTTGGACCACCCAATATTTCAATTCTAATGCAATGTAAAAATATGATTTTAAAAAGCAGGAGACACTTTTGCTTTCCCAACATACACAATCAGCACCTGACTGAAAGCATGATAATACTGAGTTACTGTAATCAGTCATGCAATGGCAAAGAAAAGGAATCCAGGTTTCACAAGAGCCCAAGTTCACCCTGCTGAACAAACCAAATCAAGCACTGGTTCCATCCTCTTCAATAACCCGATTCATGCTGGTCCCATGGGTGATGTGAGTCATGGGGTTATTGGTGAGATCTCTGACACTGCTATGCCGTGACTGCTCATTGAGTCGGTGAGAACTGCTGTGTCTGGAGTGATCAGTTAGACGTGACATACTGCCGTGAGGTAGTCTCTCCTCCATCCCTCTGTAACTGCAAGGTGTGTACCTGACACAGGAAAGTGCAGTTTGAGGAAGGCAACAGAACACCGATGGAAAATAACATTATTATTGTACATAGAAATGACAAAGGTGTCAACTCTTGATGATTAACTCTAATGGCAGAAATAACAATTTTTTAAAAAGATAATTCCCTGAACTGGTTCAGGTCCTTTGCTCTGCCCCCTTGATGACAGGAGACACTACTCTGCCACTAGTGGTGTAGCATGGCATTCAGCTAGGGAACTCTTCCTCCTCCCTTCCAACTCTTGGTTTCTCTGCATCCTTCAAGTCTTAGCTAAAGTCCCACCTTCTACAAGAAGCCTTTCATAGTTCTCTTTAATCTTAGTGCCTTCCCTCTGAGACCACCCCCAATTTAACTTGCATAAATACATAATATATGTTGTCTCCCTCCCACCCCCATCCCAATGTAGACTATGAGCTCCTTGAGAATAGGGTCTGGTTTTTGCCTTTCTTTCACAGTGCCTGGTACATAGTAGTTACTTAATAAATGCTAGTTGACTGACTGACAAGGATAGTCTTTCATGACCATATGTGAATATGTAGTGCTGGAAAAGAAGACCCACTGTGGGGAAAAATTTTTTTTTGCAAGAGAATGAGGAAGCTTTTGTGCAAACAGCACCTTTTCTCAGGTGCCCTAGTCAATATCTGGACTTACTTACATATCACTTGAAAGAAAATTCCATGTGCAAAAACCCATAATCCTTTCCCTTACCCAAGCCCCAACTTTCTAAGTAAATGGCAACTGTGCTGCTACACACTGATAGTCAACGTACTTCTCCCTCCTCTTCCTCTTACTGTGGCTACATTTTCCCCCCTGTTACAGTTCCAGACTCTGCAAGCCATATGAAGAACTAGGCTAAGAGGGTTGCTAGGTGGTGCAGTGGATAGAGCACCGACCCTGGAGTCAGGAGGAGCTGAGTTCAAATCCAATCTCAGACACGTAATACTCACTAAGCTGTGTGACTCTGGGCAAGTCACGTAACCCCAAGTGCCTCACCAAAAAAAAAAAAAAAAAAAGGAATTGGGCTAAGGATACTTCTATGCTTCCATGTTTCTCTGCCATGGGAGGGGAAAAAAACAAAACAAAACAAAAAACAACACCAAATAAAAACTAGCTCCAAACCTGTTGGGAAATACAACAGTTGACTTAGCTTCTAAAAACTATAGACAAGGTTAATAAAAATCAATTTTAAAAATGAAAACAACTGGATTTAAAACAGATTTTGAAGTTTTAAAACGTATTAAAATTTTTTAAAGACAAAAGAAAAGTAAAAAGCTTTTATAAGATATTTAATTGAATATAACTATAACCTTAAAAGAACTACATAGACTAGGAATTATAACCATAAATTATATAGTATTTTATAAAGAGGTCAGTCAAAGAAGGCCAGGCATTATCTCAATTCAATTTCTTTTTTTTTTTTGGCTCCAACTCAATTTCTTATAAATCTTCTCAGTACTTGACATAAAGGTTAATTGTCAATTATTGAAGATTTAAATGTTGGCTATGTTATAGATATCCAGCAATCATTATCTATAATACTAATACTACATATACATACACACATGTATATAAATTTCATTGCTAAAGGTGAGCCATTAAAGAAATGCTTACTGAGTCATGACAATGAACTGATAGCCATCATCAAGTACATAGATATATTCAACAAACACTCATAGAATAACTATGTGCCAACCAATAATAGGCACTTTATTAGATATTACATTAGGTTTTCATACCCCACCCCCTGGATCAGTACTTCTGGGTCATTTCAATATATTTCAATTCCTAAAGTGTTCTGTTGATAAATTAGTTTGGGAAATGCTGAGTTAATAATAGCCCAATGTTTTAAGTTTTTTATTTTGACCTAGATGAAAGACAATTTAATTTTTAAAAAAACTGTATTTCACATGTATAATTAGCGTATTTAAAGATAAACATTTGTTCATTTTAAAATATGATTGTTTTAAGAAAATTATAGCATTTGTTATTGGGGGAAAGTTCTAGAACACATAAGCTTACTGTCGTAGCTAAATAAAACAAATTTTAAATACTTGTTTATCTGACAATTGTACTCATAGTAGAAAATAGAAAAATAGTCCCCCAAATACTCATGATTTACCTGTTGAATTGAAGATGTTTTACTTCCCAAAGTCTTTCCAAGAAACCAAATCATTTGGTTTCCTCATACAATTGGGAAATTCAGCTTTAAAAAATGAAAGTAAATCACTACTTTAAAATATGTGGTGTGCATTTTCTGAAAGTGAAACTTCAGCTAGCTCTGAGTTGCAAATCAAGTTATCTAAAATTATATGTCTGTGTGTATATCCATATGTATATATACATATATAGTTTATATATACATTATCTAGAAATATATGTTTAGAAATGTGTATATGTACATTTTTATTTAAAAATATTACTTTTTTTCTTCTTAATAATTTACATTAATCAAAGCATGGCTAAAATCACACAAATCCTCCCAAACCATGCAAAATCTAAAATGTAGCTACTCCATCTGAAAATAACCATGAATTAATGCACAAATGCACAGAAAAATCAATCTAATTATAATACAAACTTAATGATCTATGTGTGAATTAGGGAATTAATATATTATCTTCCTAACCACAATGGAAATTGCTGGAGGACAGGGACCATATCTTTTTTGTCTCTTTACTAGCACCTAACACAATAGTATAATAGGTTCTCCACAATTACTTGTGAATGAATTAATGAACAGAAGTGGTGGTAGTGGTAGTGGTGGTGATGTTCAACAATGTTAATGCTGTGGAAAGGTCAAGGAGGATCAGGACCGAGATCTGGTATGAAAGAAGTCATTGGTGATTTTTTAGTATAGTTAATTAGAACAGAAGGAACAGAAACCAGATTAAGAGAGATTATTGGAGAGATTAAAGAGTGAATGGGTAATGAGGTTATAGAGGAGATCATTAAATTTTATATGAGATCATCAATGTACTTGAAAGAGTTATTTAAAAAAACAGCTATTATTATTTGAGAAATATGCCAGTGAGAGGGAAGAAAGGAATATGATTGTAGTTAGGAGTGATCAATTGAAATCTTATTTATTTTGAATCCATATGGGAAAACTGAGTATGTCTCAAAGGCAGGAAAATGCCTACTGAGAGAGAAAGATGCTAGAAAAGAAGAGGTTACTAGGTGGGCAGCAAAGTCCCTCAGAAAAAGGGAAAGCATGAGATAATGAAAACAGCTGGAGTGGGTAGCTATGAAGAGGAGGAAGGATACCACTTCTGAGACTGGCAAAAGGAGATAGTAGAGAGAAGTTAATAAACATATCAATATTTTAAAGATGAAGGAGCTCTCATTGGACAGCAGAAAGTTCTTTGTTACAGTCAGTGATACCAACATTGTTTCAGCCTCAAAGATTTAGAAACCTTGAAATAATTTTTGACTCTTCTCTCTGTTTCAGCCGCTATCTCCAATGTCTCACCAAATCTAGTCTTAGCTTCCTTAAAAATGACTTTCTGATCAGCTACTTATTATCTGTTGTCATTGCTACTACAGCATTCCAGGCCCTTACCACTTCCTATAGGGACTGTTACGAGCCTTCCAGCTGATTTCCCTGTCTCTAATCTCTGCCTCTTTTAGTCAATCCCGTCAGACTGATTTTCCTTGTTCAAGATCCTACTGCTTATTGCATTAAATTCACAGTCCACTTTAGGCTCCACCCTACCAATCCAGACATATTTTTCACTATTAATCTCTAGACAAATCCATTTGCTCTGACAAATCATATTTGCTCTAGACAAATCCATTTCCTCACTGTTATCCTTATATGGCACACTCAGTCTTGCTTCTCCTTGGTTCAGATCTCCCTACCTGTAATGCCTTCCTCATTTCTCTCTGCTTATCCAAAGGCCTTTGCCAACTATTCTAGCTCACAATGATTTCTCCGTTCTTTGAGCACACAGTCAGCACCAGTTTAACATTGAATTGTTTTATAATGATCTTATAGTATTAGCCTTGTCTTTCCAATTAGATTATAAACTCCTTGAAAATTTTTCTTATCTACCTCCCAGTGTTTAACAAAGTACTGACATGAGAGGCAGTAAGGTGGCACACAGAATAGAGTGCTGGGCCTGGAGTCAGGAAGACTCATCATCCCAAGTTCAAATCCGGCCCCAGACACTCACTAGCTGTGTGACCCTGGGCAAGTCACTTAGCCCTTTTCCTCATCTGTAAAACAAGATGGAGAAGGAAATGGCAAACTATTACAGTATCTCTGCCAACAAAACCCCAAGTGGGGTCACAAAGAGTCAGACATGACTGAAAATGACTGACACACAACGAGACATGAGACACAAAGTCAATAAATACTTGAATAATTTGATGTTCCAGTGGCACAGTCAAAGGAAGATATTTCTAAGTGATCTGCATTTGTACTTCAGTGTACTCATACATGTACATTACAGATGCACATCTGATTATATATGTACTCTGTATGGACATGTCCACTACTGTCTTCATTTATCTCTCTGGGAGATACTTATGCACACACTTATTATTCTTAGCTGTGGACAAGTACACAGAGTCAATGCCTTGAACTTGCCTAAGTAATGGCCAATACCTCCTTTAAATCTGGACAGTAGGGAATCTGGCTAGGAGGTTAGTCTTTTCTTTTCTGTGCTTTGAAATTAATGAAACATATGGAACCATTTAAATCACTTACCTGCCATCACGAGACCTGTGGAGACTGCCATGGTAGCTGCTCACTTTGCTGTGGACACTCCCTGCTTTACTCCTCTGATCATCCACCATAGCCAGCTGGGTAGAAGAGGCATGTGTGGATGTTCCCTGGGTAGAGGTTCCTCTTGATTTTCGAATAATAGGAGTATTGGGATCCCTCAGAAGGGACTGGGCAAAATCAGGTTCCTGAAGGACTTGGCGACTCTCATTTACCATCCTAGAGGGGGTAAAGGGAACAAGTATTTATTATGTACCTATTATGGGCCAGGCACTAGGCTAAGCACTTTACTTCTCATGACAACCCTGTGAGATAGGTGCTCTTATAATCCCCAACTTTATAGTTAAGGAAACTGAGACAGACAGAGGTGATGTGCCCAGAGTTACACAGCTGTGTGTCTAAAGAGGGATTTGAATTTAAGTCTTCCTGACATCAGGCTCAATACTCCATCCACTGCACCACCTCATTGCCATTATGAATACATGCCAAATAGATGAACCAGCCAGGTTTATGTACATTGTGAGGTCTGTGAAGCTAATTATTAGCTCTAAAGGATGAATTTAAAAGAGAAAGAGAGACATTTTAAGACAAGAGAACCAAGATCCAATTCTATCTAGTTTCATTCAAAGGGTATACTGAAAAGACAAATGGTTTGGGAATCAAGAAATCACAGTTCTGGTTCCAGTTCTGTCAATAACTCCTGTGTGATCTTAAGGAAATCAATCTCTTCAAAGCAAGTCACTTCACATGTAAAACAAATGTACTAAACTCCAGAAATGACATCTAAGGCCTCTCCTGCCTCTGACATTGTTACTTTGGACTAGGGATTTAATATTTTTGAACCTTAATTTCTTTACCTGCAAAATTAGAATAATAATACATGTCTATATATGACTTAGACAGTAGTCAAGCTCAAATAAGAGATTTTATTCTCATTTGAAAAGTATAAAGAGCTATATAAATTAACTCAGATTTTTCAGCATAAATGGTCTTTCCTTCAATATTCTAAGTGAAGTTTCATTATATAGATTGTCCCAAATGTCTTAGTGCAGTGTAAAGTTTCATAAGCTTAAATATTAAATTAAGTTAATTTTTAACCCCATGTTTCAGAACATGACTTTCCACCCTTGTCATTTAGTTCTTTTATGAGGATTTCTTTGGTGAAGAGTTCAGACCTATGATTTTATCTGAGGAAGGACTTCCCATAGTGGAGACTCCTTCTATCAAAGCTGACTAGAAACTCATCTATAACAGAGTTGCACAGAGCAATGAGAAGTCAAGTGATTTTTGCCCATAGTCATCAGAGGCAGTACCCAAACCCAGGTCTTGTTGATTTCAAGGTTGTCCCTCTCTCCACTATGCCTCCCTACCTCTCTGAGTAAGTTAGAATGACATGTTGAACAGGAGGCAGGGTAAAGAATTCTGTCAGACTGCTGGGATTTCTGTTATCTGCAGACTGTAAGTATTCAATTTGTTTTATTTTTTTTAAATGAAAACATACTGTGTGTCAATCATAATTAGTGGTTCCTGGCAAAGTTATACCTTGTTTGCCTGCTTCTTCAAAATTAATATAAGCAACAAAGCAGAATTACTGAAAACATTATTTTCTTTTTTTTTTTTTTTAAAATGCTAGTTTTTAAGACTTACTCCTTTTTCCTGCGTCCATGAAAAAAGCTGGCCCATTCAAAGCATGTCTTTTTGCTTCCAACCCAAAAAATGGAGGGAATACCAACTATGAGAGCCATTAAATATTTCATCAGAAAAAGAATTAGGTCTGGTCGACTCATCTGAGTTACCTACAGGTAGTGAAAGAAAAAATGTAATTTACACATCAAAGTTTTTTCATTTGGCTTAAACTAACTAGTATGTTCTAGATGTACCTTACTTTATGCAATAGAAAACTGGGTAAATCAAAAAGTATTTTGAGAGAATAAAGTGAATTTGTTTTTATAGTAATCATTTAGGTATTCTGTAAAGTGATCATCTTTTTAATAGCTTTCCTTAAAAGTAAATATACCTGTTTAACTATGGAATAGGTAAGTTTCTGTAAACTTGATTTTAAAATGAAATTTTATATCTCAAAATTCCACTGTTTGATTTTCATATAAAATGAGTTATGTTCCTATAGAACAAGTTTTAGACTCAAGATCTTAAATAAAAGTATGCTTAAATACATAATTAGCCAATAAGTATTCATTCAGCTTCTATGATTTGTATTATAAAGCTAGGTACTGTGAGAGACACAAAAGTAGTCTAAGACAGGAGTCCTATCTTTATGAAGCGTACCATTAAGCATGATAATGCACATTAAACAATCAATGTCCAGGGAAGAGACAGACCACAGGATCTTAGATTTAGAGCTAGAAAGGATCTCAGAGGCCACCTAGCTCATCAACCCCCTAATTCTGTAGATGTCATATGGTACTGAGCACAGTTCTTAAGCGTTTTCTTCTAGGATTTTACTTAAATAATCTGTTCCAGGGACTTTTTTTTCTATCTGTTATTTTATCACAAAAATTCCAATTATGACCTTTCAAATCACCAAAATGCTTGACAGCTTAAACTTTCTCTCTCAAACCACTCCCACAGTAAAGAAAGTCCTAGAAATGTTGGTGGGGTTTGTTTAATGCAGTCTTAAACATAATGTTTTATCAAAACTATAAAGGATCTTATTGGAGCATACCAAAGAAATTTAAACAGCTCCAAATGTCTTTTAACCATACATTTTATAAATGTATTTTGTGTACAAATTCTACTAATTCTGTACAACTTCCAATGATGCTTCACCTATGACACGACTTGTAATCACTCATCTGCAATTGTGGACAACTGTAGAATTTTCTTTAACATTTTCTTGGAAAAATACCAAATAAAAGGATTTTTCTGTTAACCAATAGTGGATATAGTGCTCTCCCCCAAAGGCTTCCTTAATGTTTCAAGTAATCTGCATATTTTTTTTTCACTTGTGTGATGGAGATTTTTAATACATAATGAATACTATCTGGAATCTAAATTGATCTTTCTCCCTAATGAAACACATACAGCAGGGATATGTATACATTGACACTTTACACACACAAATGTGAATTCACCAATTGCAAGCTTACAAAGTAGGTTTTTGAGAATCCCCATTTCTAAATTACACAAAAGAGAAGACCAGAGTTTCAGGAAAACACTTTGCAGAACCAGCTCCCCTCCAATTATATTTAATGTAATAAATTGCTCATTTACTTTATCATTGGAATTTTTCCCCAGCTCTCATTTTTTTATTCTGTGTATGTCTGTCTGTTTTTGACATATGCGTCTTGTAAGCAATAGATTGTAGAGTTTTATTTTTTTATCCAAGATCATATTTTTTATTTTACTACAATCCATTCATATTTAAAGTTATGAAAATTAGGTTTATATTTTCCTATATTTTCCTCTAATATTGGTTTGCTTTTTACCCCCCCCAAATTAGAATTATCTTTTTTCTTCTGTAAACAGAGTACTTTGTCTCTTTGGTTATTTTAGCCTTACCTATTTTAAGGCAACCTTATTTCCAGTGGCTCTTTTCCTATCACTCAACCTTTTTGTTACCTCTTTTCCTAACTTTGGAATTTTGTTTAACTTATTAGTTCCTTTTCTTTCTTCCTTTTATCTACTTGTTTATTTCTCTTCCCTTTCAGGTAAATGGTCAAGTAAAATCTCCTTTCTTCTCTTCCCCTTCAACGTGTTTTGATAATTTTTTTTGTTGATAATTTTTTAAATTTTATTTTCTATATCTCTTCCTAAAAATAATTTCTTTTATTCATTATTTATTTTCACTTTCTACACTAGACTTCTATTCTTTGATTCATGGCCCTTGTACTTATTTTTTTCCTTTATTAGTCTTGATATTTCTCTTGGAATTAAAAACTTCTATGGCACCTATTTTGAGTTCCCTCTTCTATATATTTCCACGTGACAGCTTTATAGGTATTTCCCTTAGTCACTGCAGTTCCTGCAGGTGACAGAGAAGATATTGCTGCCTGGTGGGAATTTTCCTACATCTCTGATTGTACAGTTCATTAATAACTTTTGTTCTTCCCATGGTCACTTTCCCCTCATTTGCCATGAAATCTCCTCCCTATTTCCTTACCTTCTCACTCTTCTGGGTGTCATATAACACATAGAGCTCTGATTCTCATTCTCCTGGGACAAGATGAGTGGTCTTACCAAACCCCTGCAGATTATACCCATTGTTAGGTCTCCATCTTTCTTTATATACTATCTCTCTTCCCCCATGGGAGCATTAATCAGTGGTACCCCCTCTGACCAATAAAACAAAATTTCTCCCTTTCTTTCATTGTTCTAGTCCCTCCCTCTGCTTCTCTGTCCATTCTTCTAAAGGTTATCTTCTTTCTCAGAGAATAAAGGAGTTATTTTTCCTTTATTGCTAACCTTTAACTTGATTAAAATACATCACTTTTTTTTCTTCTCCTCTCATCTTTTATGCACTCTCCCATTCTTTAATTTAGTCTCACAAAAAACAATGATTAACCTATAGGTAGGGTCTTTGTGAGGTTTAGTCCATGATGTGTGAGTCCTGTTTCTCTACCATCACTTCTACTTGCTTTCTGCTATCACCTTTATCTCCCTATGTATTCTTAGAAAGAAATGTCTTAATGGTCTCCTGTTGTTATTTTGTTGTTTTTATCCTTGGTTGTTATATTTGTTTACTTTTCTTGTATTTCTGTTGTGTGGGGTGTTTGAGAAGCAAGTCATTTGTTCAGATCTTGTTTTCTTTCTAAGAAATGTTTCAAAACACTTCTTTTTTATTGCAATCCATCTTTATTTCATTTATGGTTAAGATCAAGTTTGAAGGGCATGTCACCTAGGGTAGTAGTATCTTAAGCTCTTTTGCTCTTTAGATCACATTATTCTATTCCCTCCTACAGTTTCTGGTAGGTACAGTAGCATTGGATTATTTTAATTTCCTTCCCATCATATCTGAAAGTCATTCTCCTGGCTACTTATGGAATGTGTTGTTTATACATGGAATTGTTAAATTTACCCATTATATGTCTTGGAGTTTGCATTATAGGGTTTTTTTCCCCTGGAGGAGATCTATAGATTCTTTTGATTGGTACTTTATTTTCTGTATTTAGAACTTTTTGGTAGTTTTCTTGTATGATTTCTTTTGTTAATTGTGTTGAGGCTTTTTTTGACTTGGTACATTCTTTTTTTCCTCCACTTAACAGTATTTTATTTTTTCCAATTACATGTAAAGATAGTTTTCAACATTCACTTTTATAAGATTTTGAGTTCAAATTTTTTATCCCTCCCTCCTTTCTCTCCCTCTTCCCAAGATGGCAAGCAATCTGATATAGGCTATACATGTACAATCATATTAAACATATTTCCACATGAAAGAAGAATCAGAACAAAAGGGAAAAACCAAGAGAAAGGAAAACAAAAACAGCAAATAGCATGCTTCAATCTGCATTCAGACTCTATAATTCTTTCTCTGGATGTGGATAGCATTTTCCATCATTAGTCTTTTGGAATTGTCTTAGATCATTGTACAGCTGAGAAGAGCGAAGTCTATCAAAGTCGATCATCATACAACATTGCTATTATTGTGTACAATGTTCTCCTGGTTCTGTTCACTTCACTCAGCACCTGTTCAACTGATTTGGTATGTTCTTTTGGAAAACCATCCTTAAGTTGTTTTTATGCATCCTGTCTTTGAGATCAATATGTTTTGCTTGTAAGAAATGTTTTTTAATGCTTTTGCTTTTTGTTTCTTTTTTGAGATTGCCCTTCATTTATATGTACTTGCGTTCCCCATCTATTATTTCCTTATATTTCGTTGGTGAGACTTGATACTATGGATTCAACTTTTTCTATCCTGTCAACTATTTCTCCTGTGCAGGCCATAAATTCTGATTTTACAATTCTTATTTCTATTTTAAACCATTCAAGAACATCTTCCTCTGGTTTCATTCTCTCTTGGAAATCTACAGAGTCCTCTGCCTCATCAGGGGTTGATTTATTTTCCTTTGTCTTTCAATATTTGTTCGTAGATGTCTAAACTATGTTAGTTGATCTGGAGGCATACTCCCTACTGTTGTTAATATCTTCCCTGTTTCTCTATCTGCTTGTGCTCAGTCTTTTTTTTTCCTTCAACCTAAGATCTATGGTAATTTCAGGTTTTTTCTTTATGTATCTCTACTGCTCTCTCTGACTCCTTCTTCTTTGATAAGTTTCCCTGCGAGATGGACCTTAAAGCCATGTTGGCCTCCTCCCATCTGTGCAATTCACATTTCAAAGGCTTCAGTGTTCACCCCAAGTGACTCCTGGGGGGACAGAATTGGCCTCAGCTGGATGTTGGGATTTTTCCCCTCAGGCTTAGTGAAGTGGTCACTCAGCCACCCACGTGTCCTGTCTCAGAGTTCTCGGTTCCTCAGTTTTATGGCAGAGCTTTTGTTGTAGCAGAGTGTAGCCACACTGTTGTTTCAGTCAGCTTTGTGTCTATTAAAAAGTTTCTGCCTTTTGATTTTCCACAGCCCTGGGAGAAGGGTAAGGTAGGAGAGCTGAGTTCTGTTGTAAGCCTCTGAGTCAACTTGTATGGCCCTCCCTGAAAACGAGAGGGTTACTGAGTGAGTAAGTTAGGAATCAGGTGTCAACCTTCTCTGCTGTTAGTTCAGAAAATTTTTACCTTGTTAGGGTTTTGGTTGTCCTAGACTGTGAAGACAGTTGAAATTGCTTTATCTCTTGTGCATAATTCCTATTTTGGAGAAGTTTGAAAGGTCATGAGAATTAGAGAAAATGT